GTCTGAGGATACGCTGCAGTGATGTGTTTTGTGATCCTTTCCATGTGTATAAAGAACTGTTGGTTGTCCTTGTGATCTGCCTGGACGTTGACAATTCGATGTCCATCACGTCAGCAGCTACAGCAGTTCCTCCTTGTGCCAGGTCAGGCAAGTGCTGGCTTGCCATCTCGATCAGGGTCGCCTTTGGCCATGTATGGTACACCAGTTATGGGCCAGTCAGTCCTCCAACCACCAGCATCAGGTTGGTGAACAGGTCTTCAGGATCGTCCACTCCATCTGCAGCTTGGGGAAGGTCAGATAATGATGATCTGCGTTTTTTTTTTGTTTGTTTGTTTTTTCTTTAGGCCTTGCTATTTAATGTCGTCCATTTCCTTTTTTATAGCTTCAGCCTTTTCTTCAAGGGCCTTAATTTTTTCCATTTGTCTTGTGACGACTTTAGTACTGGTTCCAGCGACAGGACCTTTAGTATCAGCTGTGGTCTTCAGCGAGGTCACTGGTGAGGTTTCATCATCTTCTTCCTCTGAATCAGATGCTGGTGCACATCCTTGAAAATCATCATCAGAGTCGAGGGCCCAAGTGGGTTTTGGTGGTGGGAGCAGCTGAGCTTGACCTTTAATGGGTAGTCTTTGTGATTTTTCCTTCTTTTTTTTTGCCGTTACAGGTGGGGCGTACGATGGTGGGTCAGTGAAACCAGCCAGAGAGGGGTACAGCAGTGCCACGGGAGACAGAGGTCCACAGGACTCCGGTATATGTGAAGAAAAAAAGAGAGAGGAGAGAGACACGTTTAATTTGTCCTTTAACGATCTAGTTGCTTTTCCTGACTTAGCTTCTGGAGTATTTTGTGAATTTGTCATTGTCTCATTTTTTAGAGCCAATTTGGTTGTCTTCTCAACTTTTTGAGTCATTTGATAGGTCCTGGATGCTGTTTTTGTGTTAGGGATTTGGACTGGTTTTTCAATAATTTAAACGCTTGCTCGTGATTGTGCATTGCTACAAAAATATCCTGTGGTATTTTCTTCATATTACACGTTTTTTGTTTCTGTCTTAACAACTGTTCTTCTAATTTTTGAATTTATTTGGGGTCAAAAGAACCATTTTTTAGAAAATTAAATTTGGAATGCCACTGTGAGACAAAACTGAGACTTGAATCACCATGTAGTCTGCGCATCCGGTCAGCTTCTGGACCACAAGGAATGTAATCCTTTGTTTTACTATTTCCTGAACCCATTTTCTTACGTTTTATCACTCAGTCTCTTTCTATTGAGACTTACCTGGATTTGGTTTCACAAATCTACCTCAGTTTTAAATTATTAAAACCTACTTTGTCACTATTTTATTTCTCAGTCCTTTTAGATGAACTTACCTCGATTTTTATTTTAAAAACCTACTTTGTTATATATTAAAAAGTTTTTCAGTTTACCTTAAGTAGTTGTTTGTCTTAGCCAAAAGTTCTCAGTCTGTTTTGAATTCTGTCGAGGTCGAATCCTCCCGATAGAAGAACCAGAACGTCGCCTCACTCTTAAAGACTAGCAGAGGTTTAGAGGAAGAATCCTGCGATTCTTGGTGATCAGCCATCGTCCTGGGTCCACCGAGCGGACAGACCAGCGAAGAATCCTGTTCGTGACGCCAAATCGTGGAGTTTTATCAAACTTTGTTGTTTAATAAAATTTAGCAGACTAAGAACTTTGTTAAAAAACACGTAGCAAGGTTTATTTCTCTTCTGCAGAAGGGAGAACACATGGAATGGAAACGCAGCCCAAGAGTTCTTGTGTGTTCTCCAAAATCATGAGCAATACAGTCTCATTTATACACCTTCACACGTAACATGTTTTGATACAACAGGCGCTCATTTGCAATCTTATCAGAGTAAAAACAGACAGTACGTTTGTGGTCAGTGACTGGTTCTGGAGATGGGTTTGAGAAACGGAAGTTAAAAGGTTTCACAATGATGTTGGAGAGGTACGGCTTCTACAGTTTTAGATAAGCTTTAACAGAGTGTGATATAAAGTAAATGACTAATAAGAGTGATGATAAAATTGATGAACAAAATAAACTGGTATCAATGGTTACAAAGTACTGATCCTTTCTGAGACTCAGAGCTAAAACTGCAGGCAAACACGTTAATTATCATTTTAAAGTAAACTGTAATTTGTGTAAACATATCAAACTTTTATATTAACAACCCAGAAAATATCAACACCGGTATTATCGTGAATGATATGATATGATATGGCCCAGCTCTAACGAGGATTGAGGAAACCAAAAAAAAAAAAACATGTATCACACTATTTCCTGGCTGGGAACTACTATAAAAGATGCAAAAAAAAAGACTTTGCAACATAAAGCTGCAACATACAATGACATCATAATACATTTATGCATAAAGATCGATGAAGCCGGTGAGTTATCCATAAACACGTGTTCTGTGAAATCCTTTTAAATAAGTTGCAGGATAATAGAAGAGTCGGTACAATGAATAAAAGCCAGAGACTGCTCTGCTAGAAATAATAGTGTCATTTATTAATCTGCCACAGATAACAGCCAAACAATGTACATTCAGTACAACACGAAGTAATGATGCATATGCTCCTCACCGTGACACTTAGATCGGAGAGCCTGTACGATCCAGGTAAAGGCAGACATCAAAACAGCTGGGCATTGCGATCGGAAACCCCAGCAGACTCTGTCTTTACTCTGAGTGTTACATCTTTTATACCTTGAAACTCCTGAATCGCGTGCGAGCAGCAAAACATGTTTACCGGTTTACCAAGATAGTTGTGCTACAGAACAATTAACTCACAAAAACATGTTTTGCAGAACCAAGGCTGTGGTATGCAAGCCTGATGGAGAAAAACATGCTTTTCAGGAAACTCTGGGTGTTGTATCTGAAAAAACGGGCCAAGTTTCACAGTCAGAACACACAGAGGTTTAACACTGCATTCCTCTTGAGTATATTTCTTTTGCAGCACAAGTTCCTAGTTAATTACAAACAAGTTGAGTATAAATTGACATAAAAGCATAAAAATAATTATTATTTCAACACGCCAGAAAGTTCTGAAGTTCTGATAAGATGGTACAGTATTTATCAGCATCATGGTTCTGATAAGGCCACAGATGTCCTCGGGAGATGGGGGGGTGGGGGGTGGGTGGGGGCAGAAGCTTCTAGTTTACGTATACTCCAGGAGAAATTTGAGATAAGTTGGCCTGCCCAAGACCAGCGGGGACGCCAAATTCAGATAAACAACAATTGCTTGGGCCGCCAGATTCTGTTTTCTGCCTGCCTTCAAGTTATACTGGTATACTCAATGGCGAGTCCAAACAGCCAGATTAATGGACATTCTGCCTGGGGTATTGTGAACGTTTCTCAAACAACCAGTGACTCCACCCCCTGACCAATCAGTGACGCACAGTGTTCTGACGTCACGTTTTCAGGCCAGCACGGTACACTTGGAACCTCAGAGAAGTTGGTTCTGACAAAGGGGCTGGTTCCACAAATCATTGCTAGTGGAAAAGACTTGGAACCGTGCAGCGCCAAGTCGAACCGTGCCGCAGAGGCACTAGTGGAACGGGGCATTAGTTCCTGCTCCTCAGTCTTGCCATGTCTACTCTCACCTGTTTTTGTTGTCCACTCAGGTGTTTCTGTTTCTATCATTTAGTTTTTGGTTATTTATACTCTCTGTTTTGTTAATCGGGCTTTAGTTCACTTCTGCTCTTGGTAGTACTTGTGTTCAGCTTTCCCGGTGTTTTTCTCTTGTGGCCAGCTCCTGTTCCTCCCATACTCACCTGATCCTCGTTGTTTTTCTCCAGGTGTTCACCATTGTGCCTCTTTAGTGTCTCATCAAGTTCCTTGTTATTTTGTTTGCTCCTGTCTGTCGTCCCTGCTGTCCCTCTGTATTTTCTTGTGCTCTGGATTTTTTGTAAGTTTTGCTGCCATGTCAGTTTGTTGTTTTTGCTTTTTGTTAAATAAATGAGTTTCTTTATTTTACCTTCAAGTTCCTCCATGTCAGTCTGCACGCTGGGTTCAACTTTCACAGAACATGAGAGTTTATTATTATTATTATTATTATTATTATTTGTGCTGACACATCAGCTTTTTGTTTATCTAGTTTAATAATAACATTTAAGTTTTCATTTTAAATCCTTGCTACCTTGACACCAACAGGATATCGCTGACTGTTCGGTTGCTTCTTGAACTAATTGGTCTGTAACTTTTGATGGTCAACCCTTTCGACATCATCTTTCTGTGCAGAGAGATTGCAACCTGCTAGTGTCACCATTGTATGTGCGCATATGGCCATATTTGTTTTTACACTGAGATACACAAATGGAGAAGCAGGCAGCTATTCAAACTCCTGGGGGATAGTTATGGAATAGATGTCTTGCTCAAAAACACCACCACATATGGGTATGGGAATTTAACCTGCAACCTTCCAGCCCCAAGACAGCTGTCCTACCACTGCATCACAACAACCCCATGCTATGTAGTAATCCATCAGCTTTATTCAAACATCTCAGATCACTCAAGTTGTGACAATGTCACAAAGTGAGTATGAAACATTTTTGTTACACACAAACACACACACACACACACACACACACAACATTAGAGCACTGACACTATTTGACACCAATCACTTCTCTTCCACTGTGATACACATCCAGTTCATGTGAGTAAATGAATGCTTTTTGTCACTAAAGCTGGAGGCTCACTTGAAGAGGAACGTGTCCTGCTGGTTCTTCCTCTGGGAAACTTGTCAGTTCTTTGGTTTTAAGATCATGCAGCTGATGAATCAGCTGGGTTGTAAAAAGATGGAAAATATGCTGCAGCATGCCTCTCCGATGTGCCACGGAGAACATTTTCAGTTCTCTTCAAAGAAAAGAAGCTACTTTCTCAAAATCTTTTTGTTCACAATACAAAGTCATTTTTTAAGTAGTAAAACAAACTTTTGAAAATATTTCTTTGTTGTGATCAAATGTATTTGGTTTCCATGTGCCTGCAGCTGCTGAGCAGTAATGGGAAGACTTTGGAGGGAACCAACGAAGAGTTTCATGAAAAGGTAAAAAGCAAAGACTAATCAAGTATTTCTGAGAAAGAAACAACTGTCTGACCATTTGTTTATCTACACAAACATTTAGTTTGGGATTGTCAAAGGTGTGAAGGTGCGGGTTCCGTCCTGGCCATGGAACACTGGATCAGCTCTTTACCCTCACTAGGGTCCTCGAGGGGTCATGGGAGTTTGCTCATCCTGTCTACATGTGTTTTGTTGACTTGGAAAAGGCATTGGACCATGTTCCTTGGGGTACACTGTGGGGGTTGCTCCTTGAGTATGGGATTGAGGGTCTGTTGCTACAGGTTGTTCAGTCCCTATACAAATGGTAAATGGACTGTACATAGCACCTTTCTGTCTGATCAAGATACTCAAAGCTCTTTACAACACAATCTATGCCTCATTTACCTGTTCATACAGCACTCTACTATAGCTCTACAAAAGCTGATCAGAGCTTTAGATCACATTCATACACTGATGGGACACACATCAGAGGCAATGAGATGTTCAGTGTCTTGCCCAGGGACACTTCAGCATGTGACAGCTGGTGGAATCGAACCCCCAACTCTCCCATTGGATGACTGCTCTAACCACTCAGCCACAGCTGCTCATGCACATCTGCTATACAAGTGGTACAAGAGTATGATTCACATTACCGGTAGTAAGTGGGACCCCTTCAGGGTGGGAGTTGGACTCCACCAGCGCTGCCTGTTGTCACAGATTCTGTTCATAACTTTTAGGGACAGAATTTCTCGGTGCAGCCGGGGGGTGGAGGGATTCTGGTTCGGTGGCCTCAGGATTCATCTCTGCTCTTTGCATATGATGTGGTCCTGTTGGCGTCATCGTGCCGTGAGCTTCAGCTCTCACTGGAGCGATTCGCAGCCGAGTGTGAAGCGGCTGGGATGAGAATCAGCACCTCCAAATCGGAGGACATGGTCCTCAGTCAGAAAAGGGTGGATTGCTCTCTTCAGATTGAGGGTGAGTTCCTGCGTCAAGTGGAGGAGTTCAGGTATCTCAGGGTTTTGTTCACAAGTGAGGGAAGAATGGTGTGGAAGACTGACAGATGGGTTGGTGCAGCATCTGCAGTATTGTGGACTCTGTGCTGGTCCGTTGTGGTGAACAGGGGGATGAGTTGTAAGTCAAAGCTCTCTGTTTACCGGTTGGTCTACGTTCCCTCACTTATTACAAGAGCTTTTCTATAAGTCATTTTCCAGTGCTAAAAAGCTTTGGGGAGGATAAACTCCATAGTCAACAGCTCATTCACAATCTACCATCCATCCATCCATTCATCCATCCACCCATCCATCCATCCATCCATTATCTTTTACCCGCTTCTTCCATTTTGGGTCATGAGGGTCCCTGGTGCCCATGTCCAGTGGTCACTGAGCGAGGGGCGGGGGACACCCTGGACAGGTTTCCAGTCCATCACAGGGACACATAGAGACAAACAACCATTCACTCTCTCACTCACACCTAGGGACAATTTAGAGTTACCAATCAGCCTAACATGCATGTTTTTAGTCTGTGGGAGGAAACCAGAGCACCCGGAGAAAACCCACGCATGCACGGAGGGAACATGCAAACTCCACCCAGAAAGACCCCTGGACCGGGATCTGAACTGGGGACCTGCTCGCTGAGAGGCAGCAGCTCTACCAGTTTGCCCACTCACAATCTACCATTCGACAAAATCTTCAAGTATCAACAACAAAAAAAGTTTTAATGACCTACTGGCTTAGTGACCATTTTTCTTAGAAGAGAGCAAAAACTTGAGTAATTGGGAATAAATTCCTGCTTGTTTGCCTAATATTGCCTTAAAATCTAAAACATATTTTTGCTATCTTGTAAAGCTGTGTGGGATTTAGACAACTCATGTTCCCTTCAAACAGACAGTTTTCTTTAATTTTCAGAGCATTAATGGCTGCGTTCCATCGCTGTACCTCAGCAGAGACAGGAGAACAGAATTCATGAGAGGAGGAGTTGCTTCAGAAAAAGAGGCGCTGCTTCTGGGTAAGTATGATCATCACCAACACAGGAAAAAAAAAATACAGTCACTTGAACATAAAATAAGATTATGTTGTTTGTTTCGTTGGTTGGGGGGTTTTTTTGGGGGGGAGGTCAAAATTTTTTTAAAGACTTCTGATAATTTGATTTTTTTTCCTGTGGCTAAACACATTTATTAAAACAAAAAAATGCTAATGAGTCATGATTAGGGGTGTAACGGTACACTAAAATCACATATTTCGGTTCAGTTCAGTTTCAAAGAGGGCTCAGTTCGGTTAATTTTCTGTACAAAAAAGGCCAAAATAAAGACTTACAAAATGTTTATTTTGAATACATGCCAAGTAAACAAGTTCAGTCATTACAGACTTCTTATCTGGAGGTGATCTGGTGGATGAAGAAGACTCAGCTGCTGTCATCCTCAGACTGCAAACAACACAGAGATTTAAAAAAAACTGAGTTAATAAGATGATAATTTAAATTTAAAAAGGTAATTAGATCACAATAATACAATAACATTACCTCTTCTTGCACGGTCATCATATGAGGTGGATGAATATCCTGTCTTGCTCATCATCGATGTGGCAGGGCTTTAATCTGGGCTCCAGGGCTTGTTGACTATCAGTTTTAGTTTTTTCATAAAGTGCTGCTACGACTTTTTGGCTGAAGTGTTGACATGATGGGAAGTCGTAGGCAGCGGGGCTAAAGAATTTTAATCATATGCTTAAAACGGGCGCATCAACAACATTCGGACATAGATCCAGAGCTTTAAAAACTTCTACAGCTTGTGTTATTGCGTTGGACCGATCTGAATGACCTGATAACGGTTGTTTAAATGCTGCTGTTATCGGTTTGAACAAAACTACGTTCACATTCAGATGATGTCATTTCAAGAGCGTTAACAAGTTAGACGTGTTGCTGCTGCAGATCCAGTCTCCATGAAACAACGTCGACACACAACTTTGGATTTGTACTTGTCTTTTAACAAGAAAGTGATAATGTTCACAAACAGGAGACTGCAACCAGATGGCTTGTTCGTTGCCTGCTAGGCTGCTAATGCTACGCGTGCTGCAAGATAATAGCGCCGTGCTGAAACACGCAGCACATAAATCTTGTTAATAAAATTTAATGAGTGAAAAAATAACCGAAACGGTACGCACGTGGCTCGAATCGAACATGCTGTACCGAAACGGTTCAGTACACCCACGTGTACCGTTACACCCCCTAGTCATGATACAAAGTTTTCCAGCCAAAGTGGTGTGAAGTGTGGAAAATGGGTGAACGCACTTTTAAAGTTTTCATCACCCTTTTGGAAATCGCTGCTTTCTTTTTCCCGTTCTCCAGCTCTGACTGCAGCAAAACCAGGAAAGTTTTTGTCAGGGGTTTCTGTAAAACTGCTTGTGTCTTTTCTGCAGTTAAACAATACTAACTTTTCTCAAACATGCCTCTTTTTACCACTGTCATTTCTTGTCCTGTTGTGCTTCTAAGTATTCTAATTCACCTAATTAATGATAAATTACTGTACAGATTTAGGTCCATTATTTACTGGAGAGCTGAACGACATATTATGCTGAAGGGACACACTTCTAAACCTCAGTTTTCTGGGTTTGGCACTAATTAATCTGTCAAAAATGTGCCAGATTACAGCTTCAGGTGTCAGGTTTTGAAAGGTGTCAAACCTAGGAACCACATGAGGAGCTTCAGTAAAACCTAATATTAATTCCGAATTAATATGTTTTAAATCTGGGGGGACACGTCCCCTTCACATATAATTGTTGCATGTAATGTAATGCATCTAATGTAGCATGTTTTTTTATGTTGTTTGTATCACTTCTTTTATATACATTTCATTTGATATGCTTTCATATAAATGTTTATTGTGTGTACTTCATTTATAGTCTTTGTTTCAAACAGGTCTCTCTTGTAAATGAGTCCTTATGACTCAGTGAGACTAACTTGTATAAATAAAGGCTGATTGAATGTTGTGACGCCGATGGTTCAAGTGAACTTGGGGCTAATGGGTAGAGTGGAGACGCCTGTGCAATAAGAGAACAGGAAGCAGGTGTTTGTGCCAGAGGCAGGACTGAGGAGCAAATGGAAAAGTATACATATAATGCTATGTGTTGTCATCATTGTAAGTTCCCATGCAATGATGAAATTAGTTCTCTGCATTTGACCCATCGCACCTGGGATATACCCAAGTGGAACAGTGGGCAGCTATTGAGCACACGGGGAGCAATTGAAGATTAGCTGTCTTGCTCAGAGACACCATGACATGTGGAAATGGCTGGGAGTCGAACCGCAACTTTCTGGTCCTAAGTCGACTGCCCTATCTCTGCCTCTAATTGAGTATAACAGAAAAGACAAGAGGCACAGAAAACAAACCTAAAACAAATTCATCCATCCATTATCTTTACCCGCTTCTTCCATTTTGTGTCGCAGGGGGTCACTGGTACCCATGTCCATCCATCACTGTGCCAGAGGTGGGGGACACCCTGGACAGGTCTCCAGTCCATCACAGGGACACATAGAGACAAACGAGACAAACAACCATTCACTCTCTCACACCTAGAGACAATTTAGAGTTACCAGTCAGTCTAACATACGTGTTTTTGATCTGTGGGAGGAAACTGGAGTACCCGGAGAAAACCCATGCAGCATGAAGAGGACATGCAAACTCCAATAAGGCCTCCAGACCGGGAATGGAGCAGGGGTAACCTGCTCGCTGAGAGGCAGCAGCTCTACCAACTGATCCACCGTGCTGCCCCCAATCCAAATATCAAAGGAAATAATAATAAATACGGTATATTAAAAGCAAAAAAAAAAAAAATCAACACAGGCAAAAGCACAGATTGTTACACCAAGTGTATTTGATTAAATAAAGGTTGAATGAATTTTGCACATCCTGAAATTATGAATTACCACTTAATGCTTTGACTGGAGCCTAACCACAGCTAAAACATGCACGTAAAGTGGTTGGTGTTACTGCAGTGCACAGAAAAGTTACAGTATTGACTGATGACATCTAAACCCTGCCACGTTACTGAAGCCCAGCTTCTGTCCTCTCCACAAATGATCTGGACTGAAGATGTTTCACATATTTTGGTTCTTTCTGTCGTTCAGAGTAGTTTTTTTTTTTTTTAATCCTTTTTCAGGTCTTGAAGACAAGTTTTTCTCCAACTGGTGTGAAAGAAAATGGTAGCTAATAATAAACCTGCAGTTTTTCAGGACATCGTTTGAGTAAATCCACAAAAGTTGAAGACAAAAACAACTGGACTTTATTTGGAACAAGACACTTTGCTAAAGCTCCTGGGATGAGAAGCGAAACATCTTCTGTTACAATTAAAGTCAAGCTGTTTTTGTCTTCAACCTTTTTGAATCTACCATGTCCTGGATGATGGAGAATCTTCAGCAGCACATTGTTTGAGTAGTTTTTCACGTTTTCTCAACCAAACAGTGTCCACGTTCCAACAGGAATGTTTGTGTGCAGAGCAAAGACAGACTGTTTATGCTGATGGCACTGAGGTTGAAATGTGTCGGTCTGCCAGGAGGTGAGTAAACTTTGGGTTGACTGGACCCACTGATCAGGCAGACTGATACACTCAACACCTATCACCTGGTCTGTGCAAACACACCTTGAACAAAACTTTTAGTTTGACTCATGGCTTCTAGATCAATGTTTACACTTTAAATCAGTTCAGTTTTTTAATTCAGCCTTCATTTCTACAGGTTAGTCTCATTGAGCCTCGAGGACTCACTTACAAGAAAGACCTGTTTTAAACAAACACAGATGAGGTACAGACAATATACAATCCTATAAAAAGCATATAAAATGAAAAGTAACTAGAATAAGTGATATAAAAATCAAACAAAAAACAGCTACATTATGAAGCAATATAAAATATTAAAAACTGGAACATATCTGCGTTGGTTTTTGCCATAAACTAGCAGTTGTTTAAAGCCCATTAGAGAGGTCAAAGTCGACAACTTCAGATCTTCTTGCAAGGTGTTCCAGGTTACTTCCAGTTTATTTATATAGCACCAAACCACAACAGAAGTTGTCTCAGGGCACTGAACAAAAAATATTCACATACATACAAATGCCACCAGTAAAAGTCCTCTATCTAAGGAAGCAGCAGAATGTGTTGAAGCTTCACTTCGTCACAGTCTCCCATCCTGAGCAAGCACAAAGGAGACAGAGACAGAGTCAGAGATTCTTTATTGTCATTCGCACCTCATGTGGTACATGTGGTGGAGCGAAATTATGTACACAGGGTCCCAGTTACATCCAATAATAAAATGTATAAGAAAAACTGTAATAACATCTAAGATATGAACTAAGAAAAACATCAACTAAATATACACTAAGCACTAATAACATAAAAACATTAAACATCAGCACAAACATGAACATGAGTCTGTGTGAGCAGATGAGCACACATGAACACATCAATATTGAAAAAGATCAGCAGCAACATGAAACACATCAGCAGCAACATGAAACACATCAGCAGCAACATGATATGGTTTTTCACAGTGATTATTCTGGTTAGAGATTCATGAGTCTAACAGCCTCAGGGTAGAAGCTGTTCCTCAGTCTAGTGGTTCTACACTTAATGCTCCTCAACCTCCTTCCTGACGGGAGTGGGGCAAAAAGTGTGTGTGGTGGGTGAGTCAGAGTCAGAGTTTCTTTATTGTCATTCGCACCTCATGTGGTACATGTGGTGGAGCGAAATTATGTACACAGGGTCCCAGTTACATCCAACAATAAAATGTCTAAGAAAAACAGTAATAACATCTAAGATATGAACTAAGAAAAACATCAACTAAATATACACTAAGCACTCATAACATAAAACATTGAACATCAGCACAAACATGAGCATCAGGTCCATCATGATGCAGGTGGCCCTCTTCCTGCATCTGGAGGTGTAGATGTCTGTGATGGTGGGGAGGCTGACTCCAACATCTTCTGTGCAGCCTTCACCACTCTCTGCAAAGCTTTTCTT